AATGTGTGAAAGCCATACAACCCTGTGTTCACGAAAACAAGAGGTGGACACTGAACCTGTGAAAACAGAGTTAAACGCAGTGGTCATACTGGGAGTGAATTCGGCTGTGTCTGCAGGGATAAAAGTGGATGAGGTGAAGAAGAGAACTTACCTGTCATCGGACACTGACGATGTGAAAGCCACTGTAATGAACAGAAGTGTGTCAGTGAGGAACAGATCCCAGTGTCAGCCTGCAGCCATTCCCCCTGACTTCATAGCAAACACAGTGGACAAAAGTAAGCCTTCGAGTTACACGGCTGCTTTTTCCGGTCATCTGTTAGCAACTACAGAACGAGCAGTGCCAAAGGAACAATTATTCGTCGGCAAAAATAAGTCAAAAGAACCGACTCTGATCACGACGACGCATGTGCCCACTCCACCGCTGCGGTGCAGCTGCCAGCATTTCTGCCAGCATTGCTGCCACCCTACAGAAGAATCAGAGACAAGACAGGAGAGAGGAGCTGGTGTTACCAGTGGAGGGAATGAAGATGGAGCCAAGGTACCCCAGAAGCCAAAGTCATGTGCAGAAGTGGTTGGGAGTGAGGCGAGGCCAGGTAAGCAGGGTGGACAAAACGGAGAGGCAATTTATCCGCCTGGAATTCCGCTCATAAGAGTGTGGAAGACAGAGATTGAAGAGTCTTTGGTGAAAAATGCGGTCGATGTAAATACTTCCTCAACGAAAAATGCTCCAATGAGGAAGGGGCTCAAAAAGACGAATAGGGCAATTTCCTCGGGTGTGACAGCTGAAAAATCTCATAAAAATATACAGTCAAGCATCTGAGAACTCCAATAAAATCTCCATGCCCATCATCACCTCAACACGGACGCATCAGCCCCAACATACTCGGCATTCCAAGGGAAGGGATATCCCAGGGCACGCAGGTGACCAAAGCTCGTTCTGCAAAGAAGCGTCTTGCTCGACACTCTGCACTGAAATTAAAGCTGCACGACGACAACACGAGGGCAGCCTTGAGCTCATTGAAACCCCACATTTTTTTGGAGAAACGTGGCCCGCCCTCCATGTCTGCCGGCGACTTTGCAAAGCTGAATTACGACGACCTGTTTTCCGAGTCTGCTCGCAAAGATGTGCAGACTCCGGCCATTTGGCAAATGTTCACAGGCGCCGTGTACGTTTCACGGCGGCAGACTCAGCCTTTGCAAGGTCCTGTTCGGCACCCCCGCTCTGTGTCTGCCGGACAACCCAAGTCACCGGCGAACGCTCGCCCACGTGGCCGAAATGTTAAGTTGCACGGCAATGAGGGCCGTGTCAAGAAGCTCAAGCCCAAGTTGGGGTTTCCTTCCAGACAAAAGGGAGCCAGCGCGAGCCGAGCAGAATCACGCGAGATCCAAAAGTGTAGACACCAATGGGGAGAATAGAAAATCAGGAGACGAGGGAGAGAGGGCTCGCGAGAAAAATCACTTGTTGAGCGGGAGTTGCCTGCACAGGACAAACCACAGCCACTTGGCACTCTCAAGGAGGACACTTTAGAAAGTTGTAGAAATGATTTCACTGCACTCGCCTTACAGACGTTCAAGAGGGAACCGTTAATTGAAAAGCCAGATTGGCACACATCAGGTTCGCAAAGTGTTCCGGAGGCAGCGAGCCTCAGCGATGATGCCACACAGGATCAGACTATCACTTGGATCAAGGGAAACCGGCTGGGCAAGGGGGCCTTTGGAACTGTGAGCATCTCCATCCCGCTACCTTTCCCTTTATTCGATACGTAAAGCTACCCAGAAAACAAATGTCTGCCTAATAGTTGGAACGTTTTACCATGCTATAAAATGTATTATTAAAAAGTAAAACTGATTGGCAAACTAAAAAGCCAAAAGGCATGAGAAACTGTGAATTTAAACAGGTTTAAAACATGAAGGATTTACTTTTACACATTATTTGTATTCCAATGACATTAGATTTAAATTAAATAAAATTACAGTCCTGTTTTATAGGCGTTTTCATTGATCTCCAACAGGTGTTCCTCGGGCTGACAAACCAGGGCAAGCTGATTGCCGTTAAGGAGCTGGAGCTCAGAGATTCCCAAAGTGCGAACGGCAACCAAGGTGGACAAAAGCAGAGCGAGCTGCAGAAGCTGCAGGATGAGGTGGAGCTGCTCACCACCCTGCGTCACCCCAATGTGGTCGAGTACCTGGGCACGGAGATGGAGGGAAACCGCTTCAGCATTTTCATGGAGTTTGTGCCAGGCGGCACGGTGGCGGAGACGGTCCGGGGTTTGGGCCCCTCGGCGAATCCGTGTGCCGTAGCTACATCGCGCAAATGACCCGCGGGCTCGCCTACCTGCACGGCCACGGCGTGATGCACGGCGACGTCAAGGGGAGCAATGCGGTGATCACGCCCGCCGGTGTCGTGAAGCTCATCGACTTTGGCTGCGCTCAGCGGGTGGCGCTGGCACTCAGCTGCCACGAAAATGGGGGCCTGCACTCCGTGCACGGCACTGCCTATTGGATGGCTCCAGAGGTGATCAACGGCACAGGCTACGCGCGCAGGGCCGACGTCTGGAGCCTGGGCTGCACGCTGCACGAGATGGCTGTGGGTCGGCCACCCTTCGCTGACATGGCTCCCATGGCTGCTTTACTCCACATTGGCATAAGGAATGGGATTATGCCTGGTCTGCCTCAAGCTTTTTCCAAGGAGGCACAAGAATTTGTGGAGCAATGCTTCATCAGGTGAAGATGCGTGGTTCTCAGTTCCACACTCGCATTTGTGTAATGATGGTTATGAAAGTGTAGGTAACTGCAAACTCACTGGTCTAAATACTAAATCCTGAGTAACTGCTTTGTCTTCAATCAAGTATCTCAATGGAAGGAGAACCTTCTCAATTTACCTTACCATATTAAAATCCAATCTACAGTACATAAATTATGAATTCATCAGCTCGACCGAGGCTATTTTATTATTTTGAATCAAAAGTTCCATTGCGCATGCAGGAAAATGTCATGTTGAAGGACAATGTTATGTGTTCCATTTAGCGATACAATAGGCGTTAAGTGATGAGGGTAATATCTTTGGCTGTGATTTCAGGGACAAGCTGAAGAGGCCATCCTCCCAGGAGCTTTTGAGTCACCCCTTCATCTGTGAGGAGCCGTGTGCCCGGTGAAACAATGGAACGTCAATGTATCTTCGTATCGCCTGTACTCTTCACGCAGAGCATCATTGAAGACACAACAGCGTAGTCGTCGGCATAAACTCAACTGCACTGTTACTGGTAGGAACTCTCCTGGTTACACCAGCCCACAGGGGATTATTGTGTCCGTCCGTCGTGCATCAAAAATGGGAGGGGTGGGGCTGGGTGGAGAGGGGAGGGTGGGAGGGGCTGGGTGGGGAGGGTGGGGAGGGTGGGGCTGGGTGGGGAGTGGGAGGGGTGGGGCTGGGTGGGGAGGGGCTGGTCACCCCGTGGTGCCCTTATAAAACTCAACGTTTAACCTACTCACGCCGGCTTGTGCCCGCCCTGTCGGGCATATTTGCGGAATACACCACGCCAGCGTTGACCCTGGCCATTGACCGAGCAACCCAACGTTCCTACCAGCTCCCTCCACAGGAATGTGTTTAAACACAAAGCACCTGAAACATCCAAGTGTCATTACGAAGAGGACTGCTTTTGAAAAGAACAAACATTGCAATGGACAATGCAAAATTGTTTATTTTTTTGATCACGTGCAGCAAAAAAGCAGTTTTTATGCAGTTTTCAACTATACATGCCTCCGTGAATGATTAAAATGTCAAGGTTTGTTTGTGGTTGTAAAGAGTTCAGGCCATTTGAGACCTTACTTCTTAACACTTGACAAGCGATCTTACATCTAGTTTTGCAGCGGTCCGATGCACATTTTATACAGCAATTTCATCTGAATTGTCAGGAACCCAACATTAAAATGGTTCATACGCAATGCCTTCTGAGGCATCAAGCATTTCAAATTGAACATACATGTAATGTACAGCCATGTTATGCATATCATTATTTGTACTTTATTTGTTTAAGTTGGAACTAAGTAATATCTGCAAATGTATTATGATACGTGCACTGCAAGTCCTCTCAATTGAATAAAAAAGCATTTTAAAACATAGTATGTTAAGTAGTTGATTTTGAATGCCCACATTGTGTAACTATTATTATGCTTAGCCAAAGGTTTACAGTTGCCTATAAGATGACTTAATTATCATGCACAACTGACCGCCAAATCTGTCAGCCTTGCCAACTATGATTTCCACAGGACAAACCTCGTTAATTTTGTGCTGCAGGTTCTAAACTTTAGGACTTTTTGAATCGGGAAGATCCACAACTAAATAGCGTTCGTTAATTCTGCAAAATAATTCAGTGGCGGTTATGCATGCTACAAAACAAAGGCATACCTACGTTTAATACAGATTCCAAAAGGCAGCACTCTAAATTCCAAAAATGCAAGCTGAATTTGCAAACATCTTTCCTCAACAGCACAATCTGAATTGGTTTCGACTTTTATGATTGATGTGCTTACAGGGAGGAATGTGTAAATGAGCAACCCTAACCGTTTACCATCTTTTAAGTCGACCTCAGTCATGTCCAAGGGGTCACGTCCAGCAATGCACCTTAAGCTTTTGCATCATACAGTCCAGAAAATGCAAACAAACGTATGCATGTAAACGCTGACTTTGAAATTATTCTCATTACATACAACCACCCATCAATTAAATTCAAAAGTATGCTTATGCAACATTAATTAGAATATTTTAAATTATCATTTACTCCCATTTGTAGTTTTGATTATTTAAACCAGTCTAAAATCTGAAGTATTTTCAATGAGAACAAATTGTGGTGACATGTAACGTTTTATCAATTTAAAAAGTTACGTTGTGTATGCACTCATCAAGGAGAGTTTGCTCTACCAAATATGACGTCCAAGATTGATGTACACAAAAGAAATATACGACGGCTTCAAAAACCGAGAAGACGGTGGGATTTCACGACTCATTCTTGCATGTCGAAGTAGTCGATGGTAGGTTCATCTTTCGCCACTGCTGGGACATCCGACGCCGGCTTGTCAAGGCTAAGGGCACACAACCAGAGAGGGCCAGTTATGACTCGGCAGTCTAAATTACTCGGGCCGAATGCTCTACATAGCAAGCATTTGGCCACATTCAAGCAAATCAAGTATTACACCAATGCACACGCATTTTAAGTGATTATGCAATAAGGCAAAAGCCTGGACCTAGAAAGATTTTGAAGTAAATTACACGCACATACATAAACCCAGTAAGGTGTTAAGAGTTTTCTGTGTACACTCACCGATTTGCGTGGTGTGGTATCGGGGGAGGAGGCTTGGGTCCCAGCTCCCTCTCTATCAGGGCGCACAGGGGTGGGCTTGGGTTGCACGACTTCCCCCTACAAAAAAAAATAATTTCAATTGCATCAAATGTTTTAAGGGAAAAAGCGGAGGAAAAATGTGAGGAGTTGGAAGGGACTCTCAATGAGAGATGTGGCAGGTCGCCAAAGGTGGAAAGCATTTGAAATGAGCACCAACTGACAGTTATGAGGATTAACCGAGTTATGGTAAATCACAGTGATGAAGGTAAACTGATAGTTGACACAGACAGAAATTGTGTGTGCAAGCTCCATATAAATGACCAAATATTCAAAATGACCAAATAGTCCTATTTTACCCATCCTTGGGATGAGTTTTTCTCCGCATCTTATGCGGGCAATGTAAACTTAACAGAGACGCGACAAGAGATCAAAACAACTGGAAAGCGGAGGTGTGGAGAGCACAGAACATGGGGGAGCCTCGAGTGTTGTTGGCATGTGAAAAAAAGCCCAGCCATCGTACAGGGAATGAATGGTAAGAGCAAGGGCAGCAGACCTGATGGCCGTGACGACAACGTTGCGCTTGGGCTCATTGTCGTAGCTCAGACTCTCAAGCGCGTAGCTCTCGGCCAGCTCGTGAATCACGCGCCGGTGGTCACGGTTCATGGGCGGAAAGCAGTGGCTGCGACGTGCGTGTTTGCCCTGTGCACAAAAGCAACCAGAGGCACTTAAAACACCAGGGGGCCCGGCAGGTGACTGTTCGTTTCCTCCAGGGCCTCAATAACAAGGTTATTCAGGTCGCACTATAAAATATACACCCGTAAAAATCATGTTATGTGTTGACAATGATTTAACATGTGAAAGTAATTTATTGGATTCAGTTTTGTCGTTTTGAAAATGTATAATACACTAGCTTAATTTGACGAAAAGAAAGATAACAGTTATTCTTTAACGTCTGCAGTTGAAAATGAAAGCGAATGAAGCCGTTCTTCCCACCCACCTTGTTCGTGGCTTCTACCAGATTGCGTATTTCGTCTTCTACTCCGTGCACAAACTTCAAATCTTTCCTGTAACGCATAACATCGCTTTTACAGCCAATACATGAGAAGGAAATATGAGAATGTGGGTCACTGTTATCAGTCCATCGTATCTTTGGTTAAACCGTCACGTGAGTTCATTTTCTAACTGCCATTATTATTGCACTGCTGTCAGAGAAATGTTGGTTTTATCATGAAGCCGCCCCACCACTACCTACTACTTTTCCTCCCCTTCCCCAGGCCCCCATTACTACCCACTCGCGTTGCATCACTAAAATCAACTTTCTTTATCCACAGTTGCCAAGCCTCGCAGAAAAAAAGTGGCACCGTATTTAAAAACACGTCCAAAATTATTATTTCGCATGGCTGATGTAAATGCAGAGCAACAACTACAATTTAACATTCAGGTGGTTGTGCCAAACAACCGCATCAGGAGCAGCGGAGTGTATCACTGTGATGTCTTCTTCAAATTTGTGGTTCAGGCATTGCATCGTAAGATGTTGTACAGTGAGAATTGTTTTTTAACCCTTTTATCTGGCAACAAAACTGACACCTTTTTTTACAAGGAGTCATGCTTACATTGACCACAATACCTGCGGTCGGAATGCAAACAAAAAACACAACTCTGATAATGTATGCACTGTCCTTGAAATTGATTGGTCCACACCTGAGACAGCTTTTCTTAGAGCCTAGTCTCACATGGTGTGAGACTAGGCTCTAAGACACCAAAAGGCGCCTTTTGGCGTCATCTGGTCCAACACCATGTGAGACGAGGCTCTAAGAAAAGCTGTCTCAGGTGTGGACCAATCATTTTCAAGGACAGTGCAACATTATCAGAGTTGTGTTTTTTGTTTGCATTCCGACCGCAGGTATTGTGGTCAATGTAAACATGACTCCTTGTAAAAAAAGAGGTGTCAGTTTTGTTGCCAGATAAAAGGGTAAAAAAACAATTATCATATTTTGTTACTGGCAAAGGAGGTTCCAATGATGTTGTACAGTATCTTCTGGATGACCACTGTCGCACACTGAAGAGATTTTTTATTTTAGATTTGTGATCCATGGATGTGGTAGACACTGGCATGTAGGGCATCCCAAGACGCGAGTATCCTGGAGCGCCAGGACATCAAGTCCGTGTCTGGAGGAAGGGGCGGGACCTCAAAAAGAGGGGGTGGGGCCTCAAGATAGATGGACGAAGTCTCAAGAGGGAGGTAGGGAAAAATAAACCCAAATCTTCAAATAGAGAAGTGCATCAACCATGAACTTCCTTTGATTATTTAAGGAAATTAAAGCATGGAATAACATGTCTAGCAGGGAGCAAAAATGTAATGGCCGCAGATGTGGCTGTCGGCCAACTCGTTATTAAATGCTTAGTCCAAGTGTGTCAAAGTAATTTAAAACGTAAATATTTCAATGCAACCTTTCATGCTTTGTGCACTTTGTTCAGCCAGCCTTACATGATTTATAAAACGTATAGATACTTTTATACATTTCTATAAGAATATAATGAGCGATTATTACTCCTGCAGGGAAGGAAAGCACACTGGTACTATTAATAAACATAGTACCTGGCCTCTTCCTTCAAGAAGTCAGAGTATTTCATGGCAACTGCTTTGTTGAAGGGGTTGGTGGATGGATCAATGTTCAGGGCCTCTGCCAGCCGTCTGGAAAACAGAACAATGAAGAGCCATGACATATGTTCGAAAATGAACCACCAATGCACGTAACGAAACGATTACACAACTATTTTTCCATGGGTTATGTGTAGGATATAATGCGCAAATAATAATGTATTTCACCTGTTTCTCTCCAACACAGCACACTCTTCTGTACATTCCAGTCTGTCAAAAAACAAAAAAAATCACTGCAAGAAAACAAATATGTTACAAACAATGTTACGATATTTTACAACACCATACTTGTGGTAAACATTTAAAAGGAGATTTTTTTTTTCTCGAAAGCGTAACTACAACACTGTTATACACCTTGCATACCATGACATACCAGTGAATTGAATAAGATGCCTCTTGGAATTTTGCATCAAACTTCCACAAAAACTTGGCGTTGTTTTCTAGGTATGCAGTGGCATACAGCACAACTTGAAACTAACAATTATAAACCACTTGTCACTTTAAAATACATATGTAACTAAAACATGAAGAATGTGTTCATTTAATGGAAGGAATCACAATTGGGTTGTTTTTCTTTAAACGAGATACACACACGCAATGTTAACTTTGACTTATTTGACCAAGTACTGCTGGTGAGCTTTTATGAGGCCCAGTTTAGAATTAGGAAAGGAGTTGGTGGGGGTTTGCAGGGGAAGGGTAGGCAGGAAGAGGGGTAGGCAGGGGGAGGGGTAGCACTAAGTATGGGAGTCCTTCTATTTCCAGACACTTGCAATTAAATCAAGTGAGGGAGGGCCACGTGACATAATATCCTGTTGTTGATGTGCACATCTGGTAGTGAGATGAGAGTTGTAGGGATTCTACTGCGGTGCACTCTTTCTTTAAGTCTTTAAAAGTGTGATCAACAAAACGCGCGTGTGCACCTGGACTGCTGCGCCTCCTTCTCAGTCACCAATTTGGCGAGCTCCGTGCACTCTCCCATCTGCATGTCCGAGAGCTTGCTCACCAATGCTATTGTAGCAATTCTGCGAAGGTAGAAACACCCGCAACCACAAGTTGCACATCGTACCATGTCACAAAAGGTTCATCAACAGGTTTATGAAAATGAATAAAAACACCTTGAAGCATACTCCACATTCATTTGTTTAACAGTTCTTACAATCAAATCACAGAATACATGATGAGACATGTAAAATTCCAAAAATATGATCTAATAATGCTCGTTCAGATTGACTAGGGATTGTTTTTTATGAGCGTTACCGATTTGAAAGAGAAATATCAAGCCCCAGCTGGGTGGAGAGCCTCACCGCTGGTAGGAGGAGGAGGACTGTGAGCAGGGAAGCTTCTCCTTCCTGTGACTGCAGCTGCATAGCAGTGTCACCTGCAGGAAGGCAGACACGCACATCAGCTCGCTGCAGCAGCGACCTTGCACAGGCATCTTGTATGTATGTACGTATCATGTTGAATTTCTTTCGCGCCATGCGTAGCCAGCTGTGCTAATCGGTGGTGCGGGGGAAGGACAAGAAACTAAACACAAAAAGTAATTGTAAAGAAATTAGTTATCAATTTCGATTTGACAGTGCATAGCTCCAGTGGCTTCCTACTATTGGAAGAGTATTAGACGGCCGCAGAAGCGCATTTGAAAGCGTGCGATGCAGTGACCGTCTTTGTTTAATGGCTAGCCAAAAGCCGCTGCAAGGATGACCGAGTTTGCGTGATGGTTTATGCTCCTTTACGAAATCAGCAAGGTATTGTGGTACAATTTTGGCAAGCACTTTGTGTGTAATGAGTTCGACATTATAATCTATTACTTCAGCATTTGCGCCAGTAAATTCAAGTGGGCACACTGTACCTCGGCTTTGCACGAGGTCCTGGGCACGGCAGCCCAGGGTGGCATACGGAGCCACAAGGGTGGGCACAGCCTGACCGAGGGATCGTGCAGGGCTGACCGCACCCCAACACGGCAGAAGGCTCTCCATCCGGCTCTGCCAGGGCTCTGGGCACACACTCTCCACGGTGGCAGGCCTTGGCACACTTGTGTTGTCCGCACGGTAAAGTCTTCTGGCAGGGCAAGCCACATGAAATCTCCCGCAGGTAGCATGGGATATTACGACGTAGCTGCAGTGTCAAACAGGAAACAAAACAAAAAAAGCATCACTCCATTTGTTACTTGGTTGCGTAAAATACAGTGCTGCCATTAGTTTAAATTGATCATTAAAGGGAGGCTCAAGAAACATGGCAACAAACCTCATGCTTGCCAAGACACCACCTCTCGACCAGGTATGTGCACGGAGGACACTTGTCATCACTGTGGCATGTGTGGTACACTGAAAAGAAAAATAAATCACAGCTACAACGCCTTGTAGTTAAAAGACTGCCACCACCTGTAATGGGTAAATAGATTTTACTCAGAGCAAGCAGTGCCTCAGTGAGCAGAACTGTAGACTCACCTGGATGATCACAATCATGCTGGCGGAGCAAGGCTGCTTGCACTCGGTGGTTTTGTGCCGCATGACACTGGGGGGAATAACACCTCAGCTCCGCAGTAACACATCAGCTCCTCAAAGCCTGCAAAGCACAATAAGTACATATTCTGCTGAAAAAATGTTGCAATTTTCAACACATTACACTTTGTGTTTAGTTTGTTATCCTTGCCCGCAACTCTGATTCTCATGGTTGGCTACGTACGCTGCGAAATAAGTTCTACATACACACTTAATGTAGTGGAATAAAAAAGTTGTTGGCTTCACCAACTTTATATTCATAATAAAGAGCAGGAAAAAAAACTTCAAGTGACACGGGTGGTAAACCAAGCAAAACATAGGTAAGAGAAACCTGCACTGTAAATTACACACTACAACACAATAAGAATGAGGTTGACAATGATAAAGCACACAAGGACCACCAGTATTGAAGAGCATCAAGATATCTTCGTTGGTGGCCACTTTGCATTATAGTTTACATGATAAGAACACTCAGTAAAGCAGAGGAGGCAATGGAATAACATGTTACGCTATCGAGGCACTGACTTGCAACAACCAATCTGAAAACTGCTTATATGTTCACTGCTGTATGATGCATGGAGACACGCACTTGTCTGCCAGCACGACTGGCAGTCGCTGCGATGGCAGGGCTCCTCGCACTTGTGCAGCTTGCACGACAGCGTGCGACCACATATCAGAGGACACGCGTGCTCGGGATCCTGCTGGGAATGGGGGGGGGGGCAAAGGGAACAGGGGCTTGAGGGACGGACTTGCTTAAAATTACATCACTGCAGCCCCATGCCTCCATGGGTGTTCAAGTCCATAAGACTCGGCCAGGAATAAACTTCACGTTTTAGGATATGAAACAAGTGAAATTCCTGCATTGATACTTACTTGAAAGTCAATTACCAACTACAGCGACATTTGCAAAAGTGACTTGTAACTATGCTCTAAGAACTGTAGAACTTCAATTGAAATGTAAAATGGATCTTTCTTTGTATCATTTTTAACTATTACTGTTATGTTTTTCCATGCAATATTGTTTTAGTTTGAGTTTATGTACGATTGCTTAATTTATCTACCTATAAGAGTTCCTCTGTAATTTTCCGCCATTGCCGATACAACTTGGGCTGACACCTGTGATAAAGTGCTTTATAGCTCATCAGGTTCTTCAAGCTTAAATTTCTCTAATTGAAGAATAACATATTTATAACCATTTCCTGATGCAATTTATTTCATATAATTTACTTAAATGTTGAATTTCACTTGACAAATACATACACACCAACGGACCCTTTCAACAGATTTTATGCATGACAGTGATTGCACTGAGCCTCTGGTGTCACCGACGTCTGAGCTGAAGGGATTGCTTACCACGCAGCACACTTGGTTGCACTTGTGTCGGCCACACTTTCTCTTCTTGTTGCACCGCCTGTCGCAAATGAAGCTCAGCCCTTCTGCAAAACAAGTCATCAAGTCACATGCAGCTTCTTAATAAATTTTGATTTAAAGCTTTCATGACTGCAGGGATTCATATTCTTCGTTCTTTCGGTAAAGTCACGTAGAAGGTAAACAATAAAATAATAAAACATAAAAATATAAACAATAAAATTCTCACGACGTTTCGACTGCAACACAAGCAATTATCATCACCTGATGATGATTGCTTGTGCGTTCACCACAACCAACAAAACGATTGTGGAGACGTCCTTCAAGAATATGAAGATTTTACCATGAATAAGCCTAAAAGTCTTGTTTGGAAACTTGTAGAAGCAGGACCCTAAACTATACTTGTTTTTATCCAAGTTACATTTGTGAGTTGTGACGTAGAAAATTTAATGAAGAAGCTCAAGGCCAACTGGGAAGGTAGCCAAGACAATGGCGTTAAACATGTGAACCAATTGCTTGCTTTTGTAGTGCAGTGAAATAATCTGAGCCCAAATGTGAAGCACACACTCAAGGACTGAGTTGAGGCTACAAAGAACAAGCACATTTTGTAGCCGACATCAGTAAAAACCACAGCCTCTTTGTCCGAATGTGCTTGTTCTTTGTAGCCTCAACTCGGTCCTTGAGTGTGTGGTTCACATTCGGGCTCAGATTATTTCACTGCTACACAGCTCGTTAAAAATGCGCTACAAAAACAGCAATTGGTTCACATGTTTAACGCCATTGTCTTGGCTACCTTCCCAGTTGGCCTTGAGCTTCTTCATTCCATTTTCTACGTCACAACTCACAAATGTAACTTTGGATAAAAACAAGTCTAGTTTAGGGTCCTGCTTCTACAAGTTTCCAAACAAGACTTTTAGGCTTGTTCATGGTAAAATCTTCATATTCTTGAAGGATGTCTTCACAATCGTTTCATGGTTGTGGTGAATGCAGCGATCCTGCGCATATTATGCAGGCACAGGCAGCAGGTGAGAGAGGACTGTCTCATCTGATTAAACCCATCACAAATGAGGTACATTCTGCTAGAGTTATCATCACACTCGTCATCCTGTATGTCGTCTTCTTGAGATTAGATATCACCATCTCCGTGGATATTGCCTACCCATTTCTGGGACATTCAATAAAAGCTACAATGCCACTCAAGAATGTGGTGGCTGCCCTCTATGCAGCAGTCTGTCCCATATGTGCTTGTGGCAGGAAACCAGAGTTGAAGGCATGCGTTCAGACAATGAACATTGCCAAAGAATATTATTACAGCAAGCAATGTTTTTGGTTACTCATCAAAGTGTATACACTATTTCCTTCAAAGTGTAAGTTTACATTGTGCTTCATCTCCATTAACAGATGTCACTGTCCATATATGACTCCTTCTGCTCTGTGATACATATTATGTCTTTTTGGTGAATGATAACTGATAATTAATTAAATTATCATTGGTTTAAAATTACTCGTTAGGTCTTTCGGTTTAAATTTCATATTAACATTAATAATAATCAATAATAATTAACCTATAAATTTTGACTTAAAACTTTCGTGACTGCAGGAATTCATATCCTTTGGTTCCTTTGGTAAAGTCACGTAGAAAAAAAAAATAAAGTGACTACAAATAATAAAAAACAAAAACCACTGATGTAGACTGTAGCCTGGTTATTGACCTGAGTGAGCGTACTGGCAGTCTATAACGTAGACTTATTATTGGTTCTTTCAGTAATAAAAATAAAATCAAACCACGACGTTTCGATCGCAACACCAGCGGTCATCATCAGGAAAAGGGGGTTAGCCTCTAAAGGCAAACTGTTTATAAAGTGTGTCAGCAGCATGGGCGGGGCAGCTAATGTTAATGTAGGAGAGGACAAGCAACTACACTAATCAAAGGGCCGCCAGACAATCATTGCACCTCGCTCCACACACCCACACTGCTGACGGTGGAGGTTGACAAGAAAAGACAAATCAAGTCATGACCCAAAGTGGTTGAGACATCTTTCCAATGATTGCCGAGTTTATAACCATCCTCTCGGTTTAAATTGTGTCTCTGTCTCTATATATGGATGGCTTCATGAACAATCTTTGTTGATAGCCATTAGGCTTGCAAAGTACCATCGTCTTAGAGAAATAATTTCGTGTGAGCCAGCTGCATTAAAATAATGATCAGCCACGGCAGAAGTATTGGTCCTACCATATTTCAAATCTATCTTATGCTCACGAACACGGTCCGAGACATGTCGCTTAGTTTCCCCAATGTAACTGCTGCCGCAGATACAGCTTAGTTTGTAGACGCGGGATATTGCATGTCAGGAATCTTGTCCTTCACAGATGGGATCAGATCACAATTTTATGTACTGTGTTAAATCGGACCTGGATCTTGTGTTTGTTCATGATTTTGGAAATATTTTTGGTTACCCCTGCTATGTATGGCAAGGTGATGGTTTTGATTGGATCCTCAGATGGCTCCTTCCTCACGGTTGGGGTGATGGCTTTGCGGATTGTGTAGTCAGAATATCCATTCGCCTTGAGAGCTTGGTGTACGTGTTTGAGTTCACTGGTTAGGTGTTCATGGTCGGAGATACATTGAGCTCTATGGTGTAGCGTTTTGATGAGGGAATTCTTCTGGGATGGATGGTGGTGGGAATCAGGTTTTAGGTAGGCGTCAGTATGGGTTACTTTCCTGTAGACAGAATGGCTCATTGAGCCATCTGGTCTCTTTTTGATTAGGACATCCAAGAAAGGTAGCATGCCATCCTTTTCTACCTCCATGGTGAATTTGATGGATGGGTGTATGGAATTGATGTGTTGAGGAATTGGTTCAGAGCTGGTCGGCCATGTGGCCAGATGACAAACGTGTCATCCACGTACCTCTTCCACAAGGACGGGCATAGAGTGGATGCCTGGATGGCATCCGTCTCAAATTTTTCCATGAAAATATTGGCTACAACCGAGATAAGGGAGAACCCATTGGGGTGCCTTCAGTTTGTTTGTAGAATGTTCCATTCCAGGTGAATGTATTGGTGAGGCAGTGTCTCACCAGGGCTGGTACATCAGCATTCAGTCCTTGTTGGACCAAATCTTCAATTATTGCAATGGTATCGGCACAGGAACTTTGGTGAACAAAGAAACTACATGAAACTAACGAGCAAATCACCTGGGGACAGTGAGATGTCTTTAATTGATGATACCAGGTGAGCTGAGTTAAGTACAGAAGAGGTGGTCTTACCAGTGAATGGCTGCAAGGTCTCAGACAGATATCGGGCCAGTTTGTAGGTGGGTGAGCCAATGGTGGAGACGATGGGACGAAGGGGTGTACCTTCTTTATGGATTTTTGGTAAGCCATATCATCTGGGTGGTCTAGCAGCAGAAGGTTTTAAGGAAAACCGTTTGGTCTGTTCAATTAATGAAGCTGAATCAGTGATGATACTCTTCGTTTTTGTAACGAGGCTGTTGATGGGATCTCTTTTAATTGTTATATAACTACCATCATTAAGTAGGTCCTGAATTTTGTTATTGTACACGGTTTTGTCCCTGATGACCGTGGCATTGCCCTCGATGATTAATACATGCACAGTAATTTAAGCAACCAGCTCAACTGTGAAGGCAATTAAATTGGAAAAGGGGATTTATGCTTATGTTTAAAAACTTACAAGAACTTATACATTTTAAAATGTGCAATGTGTTTACATTAGTATCCTTTGCATATTTATTTGACACCATGATACAAGTGTGTTTGTATTTTAAGCTTAATGAGCAAACATTTTCATTTACAAACATCAGCACACCCACAGTAAAGCAAATTATAGAAGGCCGTCTTGTATTAAGAGAACAAATATTACCCATTGTCCTTTGTATGAAGTCTTTGATCCATATTAAAAGCCCATCTAAAACTTACATTAAAATATTTTAACTCAAAGCCCAAAGCGATGCTCTGAGTATAATAATTTTAAAAGGTAAATGTAATATTAATGAACAGTAGTTTAATGCGCAAGACATCATGCGTAATTTAAATGTGTAATAAATTACATCATGCAAAAAAATATTTTAGGACTGTTTAGACCATCAATCAAATATGTATACGCCTGCCATGCAATTTTTACTTTTGCATTGTATAAAACTTATCTTATTAATTTAGCCACCAGGCAGGAGGAAAATTAACAAAATATACTCTTGGGTTGATACAACAACCTCGATTGCATAGCATGCCAGAAGTAAAATAATACATTATATCACCATTCGCAATTGCATTTAACATGGAAAAAGAGTGACCTGGACTTGATGTAGACCTTTGTAGTCTTATGTAAAGTAATTGAAAATAAGCATACAATATTATCAAGTTAGAAATAATGCAAAGTTTTTTTCGTATTTAAATATCAAATGTTAATTTTGCAATAAGATTATCAAATGAGCTTTCACTTACCACTTTCTTGAACCTCCACACAGGGTACCTCCTACAAGTAAAAATAGTTTAACCTCGCGTAGACAACAATTTGCCTTCTATTTATGCAAATAGAACACAATATTTTAGTGAATTTGTTGCTTTTCCTGTAAAAAACTAGACATTTTAAATGATCACATATAACTGGAAATATAACTGTAAAAATAATGTGTTGAGTTTAATCTAGCACAACAACGACATATACGGTGCAAAGCTGGCAAAACTACAAGAAACAAGTCACCATACAGCAGAGTTGCCTCCCTGCTTTCGGTTATATGCAACACATTACAATCATTCTCATGAACTCAACGTAATAACGGCAGCATGAAATGCATTTTCAAGCGAATGAAAAAAATGAAAACAATCTTGCAGCCCTAAATGTAACTTTAAAATAAAAGTTAGTTTGAACCGGGCTAATGTTGTGAACTTGCATTTGTGGAAACTGATTAAACCTTTTTGTTAGAACAAAATGACAACTCATCACCACATGTTGGAGCATGTGGACCGTGAACAAGATTCTTATAATTTCCTATGAACAATAAAAAAGGTATGGCCTCATAAAAGAGGTGTAAACAAATGTTTTGACAAACAGCAGGTGCCCACCTTAGTTTTGCATCCACATCGACAAACAATGGTCGACACACCTGTGCATGGTGCACAGGGCCCTTCGTGGCATATAGCCGGGCAGGTATGAACCAGATCTGTGAACAACAGCAAACATCAACCACATATGAAAGGTTACTACAATTCCATACACAAAGAATGACAACAAAGTGCCAGGTGGATTGTATGTAAACAAGCAGAGGCGTCACGAAATGAGGGTTCCTCGGGAGTATATCTCCTTAATACACCAACAGGTGTGCATTTTTAGAAAATCATGCAATTTACTCAGTTTTGTATTTGATAAAGTACATGAGTGACTCAAATGGGCACTCATCCTGTTAAACAGTTTGCCCTTATGTTAAAGTGGCAGGGCAAAGTGACCGGGCATTCAACCGTTGTGAACAAAACACTCCACGGGCACAAGCACACGCGCAAAGTTAGTCCTTCTCACCATCTGAGCCACACGGCAGGGGCTTCCCGCACACATTGGTGCAAGTGGGCAGGGGGTCTGTGCAGCTCTTGCGCTCTGGGCTGCCCAGTTCGAGAAGCTTCTCCAATGATGTCTGTCCACAGGGACAGCTCCCGGCCTCCCCAGGCAGCAGGGGCAGAGCCGGCAAACGCCTGGGTGGCACAACTCCTGGCAGCAATGGTTTCCGCAAGCCAGAGATCTGTTCAGTGGAAAAGTGGAGAAAAGAGAGTAAAGTTTTGTATTCGCGAATGAGTTATAAAAAAGTAGAAAAAAGAGAGATGTCAATGCCAATATTAAACAAACGGTTGTATCTGTATTTGACTTCGATGATGCATATTAACACTGCTCTAAAATCCTTTCATTGATGTGAAAATAACAATCGACATTTGTATACGCTTTTTCCAAGAGTGTAGGACTCTGCTTGGGTTCGTCGTTTTGTTGAGCATATTGTACCGGAAGTATGTTTGGCTGACGCCGTGCGTATCGTGATTGTTGCATCAGAAGCTCTCTGCGGCGGGCTCCTACCTTATCTACTGAGCTATAGACTGACATCGACCCATCAGCGGGGTAGGACGCGTAATACTTGTCATGGTCCGGTAAGTTGAATAGGACGTTGCCCTGTGGTATTGTACATGAGCCATGGCCCCTATAATCGCACGCCACCGGTATACGTGTCCATCTTAGAGGATCTAACTCCGTGGTGAGACGACACTATCCGCAGGCCGCTTATGTCACTTGCAACCGCGCACGGTTTTTAGCTGAGGCATTTCGGGACAGTATTAGGCCCGAGGGGACTATCTTCACAGAAGCCCCGTACGTGTGCCACAACAACACGAGTCACTCTTCCTGCAGCCGTAGTTATCGCACTTGGCTCGCGAGGATTCCCCTTATTTACGGCTCCGATAGCTTTGGCGCATTCTGGGGTGTTACCACTGGCTAAAATGTAGGGACTTCAATAATCATCCTCGGCGCAAGTAAAGCTAAGGAAGGCGTGTCTGTATTCTGCTGCGTCTTTCTCTTTTAATCGCCAAACCCTAAAGGCCCGCCTCAACTCCGTACGATGGCCCGTGGTAATTCTACTAGGGTATACCGACAGCCAGTCCTAAATTGCTGCCGTTGCTAGAAGTAATTACCAGCCGACCTCATCCGCACCATGCCTCATTGAATGCAGGCCGTATACTTGACCGAACCAATGAATGGCAGACGCGTCCTGAAGTCTTTGGGGAGCACGCTCGAGTGCTAGTGTGTTGAGGAAGGGGCCTAGGGTCTGTCAGACGCACAGATTACAACTATCTCTCTCATTTGCCACTGGGAGTCGAAATCATCAGACTCCTTGGAACACCCGCCGCCTTGGCCTCGATAAACTGGTCTCCCTACTATGTCTATACCCGGTAATATTCGGTAATGCCTCTTTTTAGAGCTTAGTATCAGTATGGTCTCCCTTATGGAAATCTTTCCCTTTAAGGTCAATCTGATACCAGCTTCCCTCGCCCTACAGCGTCTCTCAAAGTACTGACGATGATTATCCCTCCGCCATTGTCCTCGTTTAACATCACGGAATTAGTACATCATCGGTCGGAGATCTATAAGCGTAAGAAAATTATTTGCGTACTGTCCAAATAATGCAGAATAAATGTGCGGAGATATCAAAGTGCCCAAAGAAAAATTTAACCGGTACGAGTAGTGCGGACTATCTGTAAAATGTGCGCGCAATCTACGTCCATAACACTAGTGTGAGGGTAATTAGATTAGGGCAATTAAACGCACTTGGTGTTTACGATAACCGACATATGGTTCATACAACGCACGTAGTTAGGCTTACGAACCATCCCCTCTTCTGTCGCAAGGCCGGCACGCTAATCGTCACTGTCCCTCGATATATTTCTTTCTACCCTTTCGGGCGTCGAACACTCCTGTTGGCCCTTACGGGCTAACTTTGGCCACAAGCAGCATGCATGTATCGCGGAGTTTGCTCCAGGAGTCTGCCACTCATGTCGAGCATTACAGTGAAGTGTAGGCTAATTAAAGAAGCCAGTGCGCCGTCCGGTATTGTAGACCATCAGTGAGTTTTTCCGAGCACAGCAAACTCCCAGCGTATTCGGACAACGGTACGGCATCTGAATGTAATATTATTTCCAACCTATCCTGTACACCTCCGGGTGTGAGTGCTTGTTCGCCTCCTGTTACGCGTGCTGTTGGACGGGTCACTATACTTAGAGGCGGTTGCTGAGGTAGCGAATAGACCCTGACGGTTGCGCTCTGAGGCAGGTGCCCCCTGAGTTTGTCACAAAAATCCGGCGTACGGCAGCCAAGAAACCACCTTTGGTCCGGCGTTCACGTCTACTGAAGCACTCGCCTGGCCCGTGGCACATGCGTACTACCTTTAGTGGCGATCGTTTGTGGACTTCACTGTCGCTAGCCCGTGTAGCTGTAAGGCCTACCTAGGCTAGGTACCCCCCTGAACTGATTACGTACAGCAAATTAAAACATCGGCCGTAGGCCAGGATCCCTAAAAGGCCTGACTGTTTAGGAAAGCTATAGGCACGTGTTTAACGCCCTTACAGACGGTCTCGTCTGGATTGTACTCCAAGGCAATCGTGGTATGCTGCTACACGTATGGGGCCATTGAAAAGAACCGAGCCTCTTAATCGGGTTAACTGTGACCCCCTAAATGCGATACAAACGGGGAGGGCCGACCGGGGGAGCTACTGGACTTGCGATCTAATTAGTCCCAAGCATGGTTGCACCCACGCTTTCTGCTGCTTGTGCTAAAGCGGTCCTACTACGGAAGAAAAGCATAAGACGGGGCGGTGTTAGCCCTGTGGGGGTCAATTCGCAAGACGGCAAAAATCAACGCAGCGTGCATACACATCCTTGTTTTCACTGTGCAGCTGTGTAATTCCCCACTTTCGCCGTCCACGTTGCTGTTGGAACGTATTATTTGCTCCCTCCCCCTCCGGTGTCTAATCGATTCCCGACGATCTTTTCGGGACCTTCGCAAAGGTCGGGACACTATGTAAGTCCGTTGAGGGAGGCCCTATTTCAATGGTCGTGCGTCGGGAAAGTATGGAACCTTTTTCGTGGATGTTGCTTCTTAGCATGAGCGAGACCCCTACCTTGAAGATCAAAAACCTACTTCGGAGGCCAGTTGTAGTGACTGGACCACCCACCGGGGGACGTGCAGATTAATGCATGACTCGATAGCAGGTTTTCAATAATAGATCTCGGTACAACTCTAGGCCTAACCGGATCTTTACCCATGTTGGCCCATTCGCAGGCAGTGCCTACCTGGCTGTTCCCATGTTTGCACACGTGCCAGTAAGATACGGCTTTGACAGGTGGCTCGTTGTGCAACATCCCTAAACGGCATGCACGCAATTCGATAAATTTAAGAATTATATCGATTGTGACCTGGAAGGAAGCGGAGGACTTCAGATTATTTCATTGAAGAGGTCACTGGAAAACGAATCTAACTTACGAGAAGGCAACATTTTAAGGGGGAATGGCCCCATAAGAAAGCATCGTGTAGCGAGACTCGGTTAACCACTCTGCTCAAGAGTACGTCTTTCACCGAATTCCGTCAGAGTACACGAGTTGTCTTATTGGGATTTCCAGTTTCGCACTAGGGTTACTATGAAAAGTACTGGTGTTTGTGTATTCATAACTTACATGATTCTCGAGCGCCGGTTTTTAAATCTCGGGCGCTCCTCTGTTGCCACTTTCACTCCTCACTAAGAATCTCGGCTTGCCGAAGACCAGAGACGCCGGACGACAGACCAGCAGGAATTTCCAGGGTTGGTGGAGGAGGCTTCGTGTGACCACGCCATGTTTATAAAGTTTTGTGGAAACGACTGCTTATCAGGTGCTCAGCACGGATTGTGAAGTCAAATTACTTAATCCCTATCCCATTGAGAGCTCGCAGGTGTGTAAGATGAATTCTAACTTCATCGCGCATTAGAAACCTGTAGACTTTTAATACGACTCAGCACCTATACTGATTAGGAGTTAAACGTACGTTTAGATGGCATGGCCGACGACTCCCTTGGAAATCATAGCGCTTGCCGGCCTCGATATTGAGCGAGCATCACCTGCGGCACGAGTCTAGGAGACGCCCATCACAAGATGTCGACTCAGGTAATTTGCCCGGCCTATGTGGCCCTCGGTTTCTTTTCCGGACTTGCGGGAGGGATCAACTTCCTTAGCGTAATGATTATCGTAGATGCATTACTACTCGCGCCTAAACCGAATGTTCCGTAGGATTATTAAAATTCCCCTGAAAGGAGCAATATTGTGGTTATGAACCGTATAACCAACTTCGCTGATGCTGATAAGAATGGATCGTCACGACGATAAGGTTCTGCTGTCGTCAGCAAGGCGGTCTATATACACCTTAACCCAATAAGGCAGGACTGTTCCCGCTGTAAACATCGTGCTACGTGGAATCACGGCGAAAATAGTAGGCGCCGTACGATAGGTATCTTAGAACCACGAGTAACAGTTTTGGTTGTGCTTTGTTCGGACACAATCACCTTTTAATGGTGTTACCTCCGTGGTGTTCAATAATACCTCTTCGGACATAGTGGCCCATTAGTTCTTTGCTAGTACCGAGCGTACTATCATCATTTATAGTAACGCGTTCCCTGTGCTAGGCTTGCCGTACGTCTACACAGCTTAAACGATGGCTCTTTATGCGGCCATGGTGGAAGCCTACGCGATGTACGTTGGATGAAAAGATAGTCATGTTCCACTCTATCTCGCTCATTAGCCCCCTGGAGACTTATCGTCTAAGTCGTTAGCCCCTCCCGTTCATTAACAACTACATCCATCGAGTCTAACCTCCCATAGAACGCCAAACATACTAGTTTTAATCGAAGTCTCGATCGGTACAACTCGCTGGTCGCTGGTTGCACATAACTATGTGAGATGCATCACAAGGCATGGTTCCGCCCGTGCTATTCCAGTGGACCTGGCTTAACGAGGATAGGATAGGTGATGTCACACGTGCGCCTCCTCCGAGCCATGGGGTCCTCAACAATCGAATTTGCATTTAACTTGCGGTATTCACGCATGCTCCGTGGGCACCCAGTACCTACTTTAACTCCATCTTGAGGGCTATACAAGGAACGTCTCTGTAACCAAACTCTCGGTAGCGTCTCACGACAAAACAACCAACGGTGGTACGACCTCTAGCATTTTCGAATATCGAGATGACCATCCCTTGGTCTTCCAAGAGTCTCTCGCCCAATCAGACGTGACAAGGGGCTACCACATCTTAAAATATGCTTATAGGACGGACGGTTAATATACCTGCCTCTATACATGTACAAGAGTCTCTGGGTGCAAAGACTCGCCCAGCCCGTTGGGCGGGTTATCCGGATGCAGCACCAAAGACACTTTTCAAGCAGTAGCGTAGATTGCCCTCTCATCGACACCACATAAAACCTGAAACGGGCCAATTACGACGAATCAACTTAATCAAATAGTCTGCGATGGGCACAATTACTTTATTGATTGCTAAGTGGTGTTCGAGATGGTTATACTGCATCATCTGCTCGACAATACCCCGTGTCAGCCACTCCGGATGCCTCGAAGCTACGTTAGATAGAGGCTTTCTAAGATGTCAGATGGTAACCCCTTGCTTCACTGATTACACCAATGAGGATATTTCGCTGGCAGTCTAGATGGAGCACTGCCCTAGTGAGGCAGACCCACATCGCCCCAGCATATTAGGAGAAACACCTGGTTGATATTTGCTGGGAAGCATTGCCCTTTTCTATTACCGAGCAAGTAACGGGTGACGACTATGAATTAGCCAGCTCACAAAAACTTTTTACCAGGGACATAACGCCAACTTCTAAGAATCCAGAAAAGGTCCGCGGTCCTTACCACCATTCGGGGTGCCCCCGATCCTAAGTAACTATTGCTCCGACTGTCGGTAGAAGCCGCTTGGGATCTCCCTCACCGTTCGCAAGCATAATAAAACGTGCAGTCTGAGCTTTAGTATTGCGACCTATGCTAGCTCACTTCGCAGCAGGGTGAATGGGAAGCAGGAATAACCGCAAATTTACCGTACGGAGTGTTTTGCGGATTATTCTGACCGTCAGTCACTCTGGCCACAGAGGACCCAAGGTCGCGCCTAGTCTTAATAAGGGACGGCTCACTTGGTTCGTCCGAAACGTCCTACTGCACCCACGCTTTCACGATAGAATTGCCGTCAGTCCAATCCCCAATACGCGCGTTTTCTAAGGCCGAGGCTCGTTTCTAGACATCGGCAAGAAACGAAGGGGTGAAAAGTTTAGGCCACGGGTCAACTATCCCCGTATATCCGCGTGGTAATGCCTTATATCATTATTTCTCCTGTATAAATGCGTAGTTTTTGAGTGTCAAAGTTTTTCGCTGGGGGGGACATTACTCCGGACCCTTTCCACGGTTGTTCGGGGAGTTTAGCTTGTCTACTTACTGACTCAGACAGAACCCAGGGCTTAGGACACGTTAATTACTCTTGCTCGAACGCGTTACTGGGGTAAGGCGCCACCGGACCTACTTGATGATCTAACCCTGCATGACTTAGTCAACGGCTTATTGATCAGGCCCGGTAAGGGCTGGGTTTTCCAAAACGCCGGCTGGTAGCCTGGTGCATACTTGTGATGGAGACGTTACGCCGATCGGTTTCAAGCCTACAAGTATAAGTGGCACATATACAAGAATAATGGGCATTACACCGGCTGCCTTCCCCTTCCCAGGGATGCAAGATATGATTCGGCTGACGCCTTCTAACTTCTGGTTCATAGGTAGAGGATGGATCTGACTTCAGGGAAGGGTGATAGCCCTTGTGTTCATACTAGACACTTGTCCGTCGAAAGACCTCAGTTACTCGGGCGTATCAGAATGGCTTTTTAACGCGTAGAGCATTTTCCTTGCTATACAGATGAGCCTCTCCGTCCTATTGCACGTAGACGTATAGAAAACCGAGATCAGAACTATATTCGGATGCGCCATTGCGAACCAGAATATCTTCGGGTCCGCAAAGCAGCGAGTAGTAAGTCGTTCAGGTGCGCATAATAGTCCTAACCCTTCTTGCTGCGCCTTCCTTGCCAAGCCTATCCCCTATCCGACCGTTCCCGCGTAACTACAAGGGGCAAAGATGTGGATGAGAGCCGATAAGCCGTTACCGAAGTTTGGCTTTAAAGCATGGCACCTCTAACAAACAAACCTTGGTGACTACGTCTAAGATGAAACGTGCCCCGGGATCATTTTTCCAATCGATTCTAGTCATCGTTTCATGATAAGGATTTGTGTGGTGCGTTGAGGCTAGGGCGGCCCAGGGAAGAATTAATAACTATTCCGAATGTTTCAAGGCCTCGGTATAGTTATTTAAGATCGCGGCAAATATTAAGAGTGGGCAATAAATCGGCTGCCCCAGCCGCAACTGGACACAATTCTACTCCCTACTTCGAGTACTCCGCGAGGAAACCACTCCCCGTCATGCTCTCTTGGCCCTCAGCCGTTAATATTGAAGATGCTCTAAAGGTTGAGTCCTCCTCCCCTATGAATGTCCTTAGATTCACGAAATGAAATCACTATCATGGATCGGTTTAAAGGCTTTCAAGTGCCTCCGACTTAGGTTAAAGCCAACTATAGAAGTCCTACTGACGTCGCAAGTTGACGCAATCGAAAAGATGCATCCTTGAGCCTAGCATAGTGGGAGTAGACAGTGTTCTTCTTTTCGTTCTTTGGGGGCACCGTCATCCTATCGAAACTCCGGTGGGTTGTTCTGTCCGTCGACCACGTTCGCACAGAGCCAGCGACAGATACACCTCGTTACCAACAAGGTGCGTAGCGCGGTCAACACGAACAGATCCTAAATAGGAAACTGCGGTGACAATAGTAACACGATCCCTGCGACTTTTCCACGTGCCACGACTTATCGCCTACGAGCAGTCGCCTTTGATTATCCGGTTATCTCACGAGCTTAAAGTCCGAAAGATTTCCGTTCTAGCAGCAGATCACGTCTCCCTCCAGACCATCTAAACCCTCACCGCTGATTCCCCTTACATTGAATAATACAATGATTAATGACATGGAGTTTCGTACTGCGTCTTAGTTGCCGGCGGGCCATCAGCAAGCCGCGGGTCAGTGGGGCATTTCCGGCGTAGGATGTATGTCCGGCCCGAGTGTAGTAAGAGCCGAGCTACAAGTCGGCTAAAAATAAATACCACACATACGGTTATAAAACGGCTTCCTAATGGTCTTTGTGCAGCCGCGTAGCTCAGAACCTCGGGGGTTATCGTCTATGACCAAAGGAAACTTGTTACAGCTCACGAGACGTTGCCAAACTGGAAGGAAGGCATATGAAC